AGTGTTATTGACAACTGTCCCAGACCCTCATTATTTATATGGCCCAACTTTTCTTTGGCGTACACCGGCACGGTATTAGACTAGGATAACAGTCCCGAAACTCATGGAGTTGAAAAACATTAGTCTTATATACCGCCACTACTTAATTATGGAAGTAGGTCGGAAAAATGTAAAATTTGGCAATTTGACTTATACTCAACATCGACTTATACCCTGTATGGTAATGTGATGATGCCCCCTCTTCCAGACAAGACATAGGCTATAACTGTTTCAAATGACAAGTGCTAAATGAAGTATTTATGTGGTCTTTGGTGAAAGAAATGAAATGAAATGAAATGGGGTTTAACGTCCTACTGTTCTGCTCCTAACCTGGGCTAATGAAGACGAGAATATGCCATACAGTGTGCTATGAGGAAAATTTTGCCTGGGCAGCGGGGCTACGGCCTACTCTTATATCGAATTCCAACTGCCAAGGGATCTTTTACGTGCACGCCAATGTCTACACGGGACCTCGGTTTTTCGTCCCATAACGACTAGACAGCTGTCCCTCTGTTAATCCCTCCGTCCTGCATCACTGACAAGGGAAACCACGCCGGAAAATCAGGATAAACTTTCTCGGCCAATACAGGGATCGAACACCCGATCTCCAGGCTAGCGAGCCAGCGTCTTACCCACTTAGCCACTTGATCCCCCCCTTTGGTGAAAGAGAGAGAGAGAGAAATGGGGTTTACCGTCCACTCGACACAAACTAGGTCATTTCGGGACTAACATATGGTTTAATTTTTTATTTACATAATTCGCTTGCGCGTAGGGGTCTTTAGCAGTGGGAGGAAACCGGAGGACCCGGAGAAAACCCACGAGGTTGGACAGGCGACCCTACTCCTTGCCACGTACAACCGGGGTTTCGAAATCACACCATTCGACTCAATGACAGACTTTATGATACAGCGCGCGCACGCTAACCATTCAGCCATCCACCCCCCACCCCCTTTGGTGAAAGAAAACAGAGCTGTGGCTAGTGAAATGAAAGTTTAACGTCCTACTGTTTTGCTCTGAACTGGGCTAATGAAGATGGGCATACGCCATACAGTGTGCTATGTGGGAAATTTTGCCCGGACAGTGACACTACGGCCTTCTCTTATATCGAATTCTAACTTCAAGGGCTCTTGTACGTGCACGCCAATGTGTACATGGGACCTCATTTTTTTGTCCCATTTTAATGACTAGACAGCTGTCTTGTCTAGCCCTCTGTCCTGCATCACTGACAAGGGAGAACCACGCCGGAAAATCTGGAGTAACTTTCTCGGCCAATGCAGGGATCGAACACCCGACCTCCAGACTAGATAGCCAGTGTCTTACCGACTTAACCAACGTGATCCCCGTTGTGGCTACAATTCCTGGATTTGAAGGTCAGGTATGATATGAAACGAATATTTTGAACCGGTTCACCAATGCAACCAATCCGTGACGGGTTAACTGATAGAGGGTTACATCCTTGATATAAATATACTTGTCGCGGGTTTTAAAAATAGAAATATATATATAAAGGTAGCTCAAAATTCATCTCTACATGTACAGAGGCCAAGGGGGGATCATGTGGCTAAGTGGGTAAGATGCTGACTCGCTAGCCTTGAGGTCGGCTGTTCGATCCCTGCATTGGCCGAGAAATTTCATCCTGATTTTCCGGTGTGGTTTCCCATTGTCAGTGATGCAGGACGGAGGGCCTGACGAGGACAGCTGTCTAGTCGTTTGGATGGGACAAAAAAAAACAAGGTCCAGTGTACACATTGGCGTGCACATAAAAGATCCCCTGGCAGTTGGAATTCGATACAAGAGTAGGCCATAGCGCTGCTGCCTGGGCAAAATTTCCCTCATAGCACACTGTATGGCGTAACCTTTTGCGTCTCTTCAAAATATTTCAAATCTTTTGTCATGGATCAACCATTGCAAATATCCTTGTTACAATTATATTTGAAATGTGTTAAACCAATTCTGCAACACATGTAATATTGGTGTAGTATATATCTTTGTTTATACACCCACATATCAATTTTGGCCCTGTTTGTCCGTACACTGGGTGTGAAATGTGAATCATTCCGATTGTGAGAGGACAAGCATTATCAATATACAGCTTTTCAGGACTTTGCCTTCCTTGGTTAATTCTCCCTAGTCTAGTCGTTTGGATGGTACGAATGACCGAGGTCCTGTGCACACATTGGTGTGCACGTGAAAGATCCCTTGGCAGTTTGAATTCGATATAAGAGTAGGCTTTAGCGCCGCTGTCTGGATAAAATTCCATAATAGGACACTGTATAGCATATTTCCATGTCATTAGCCCTGTCGGAATAGGACATTAAACCCCATTTCATTTCACTCATTCCAAAGTTAACTCCTATTCCATCAATACCTTGAGCAAATAAGATAGAGGCTATAGGTTTTGGCCCAATTTGGTCAATATCCCAGTTTTTTCTTTCTTATATGCATATCAACACTTTCATAGCGCTAATGTAGACCTTTTTCTTGAACATTTTCCCGTGTCAGTGATGCCGGACAGAGGACCTGACATGCATGGCTGACTAGTCATACGGAAGGGACAAAAAAAAAAACCAAGGTACAGTGTAAACTCAAGTGTGTATGTGTGTGAAAGATCCCTTGGCAGTTGGAATTTTATATAAGAGTACGCCATAGCTCGGCACACTGTGTGGCATATGCCCGTCTTCATTTCTCAAACAGCTGTGGATAAAAACTGTTAATATTTAAATGTGTATTTTGTATTTTATAACATTATATTTTTGTCTTTTAAATAAAGTATATGTATACATACTTGTAGTATATTTTGTCATATAATTCTGCTAGATTTTTAACTTTTCTGTGCAATACATTTAGAATTCTGACTGGTTATGGGTAGATAGAGAGCAATGAGGTAAAACATCCAATAGACATAAACTGTCCTTTGGGACTAAGTGATTCAATTCAAGTTGAATAATTCATCCGCACCAGGAATCTTTAGTAGTAGGAGGACCCAGAGAAAACCCATGTTCAAGTTGGGTGTGGAAACAAACCACTTGACTCAATGACAGACCTTATGATCTAAAGCGCACACGTTGGACCACTCAACTTTTAGCCTCACCCACGGGTCAGGAAAATTTGATTATTGGTTGAATGTACTTCCCATTTACTGCCGCAAATAATGAATAATTTTAAGGTTTTAATGCTCATCAAAATTTGACTTTATAATTGCATCCGTAAATGATGTTAATTTAATGTTAGATTTACTTTATAATGATCGGTAAGATATCCATCATTTTGCTCATCCTTTTAACGACAATTTAACGTCAGGAAATGACGTTAATCTAGCGTAAAGTTTACGTCATTTTTACGTTATATTTACATCATTTTCTGACGTAAATCTAACGTAAAGTTTACGTCATTTTCTGACGTAAATCTAACGAAAATGACGTAAACTTTACGCAAATTTTACGTTAGATTTACGTCAGAAAATGACGTAAAGTTTACGTTAGATTTACGTCAGAAAATGACGTGAATATAACGTAAAAATGACGTAAAGTTTACGTTAGATTAACGTCATTTCCTGACGTAAAATTATCGTTAAAAAGATGAGCAAAACGATGGTAAACTGACTGACCATTTTTACGTAAATATAACGTAAAATTAACATCATATTGTTATGTGGGAAAGCAGCGAGGCTTCTTAAAGTAGCTAAGTCTCTAACTCAATATCATCCAAAATCTTCAACATTGAAAACACGATTTATTGTGAAATTAAATCAACATTGATGTTGTGATCTCACCGGAAAAAGATGGGCTTTTGATATCCAATATTTAAGACAAAATAAACATTTTACCATTGGTACACAAATCGTGTACCTTAATGCGCTTCAGTCCCAGTTGTATCAAGAAACTCGAGGGACGAGGCTAGATACATTGCACCAAATCAAACGGCGTATGTAGACTGGAATAACCAGACGCTAGAAATTTGCACTCGCTTGAGACTGCTGGCTTATTTCGCCGAACATAACTGATTTGAAATTGGAGTAAAAACGGAAACCATTGAATGTAAATCAGTTTATAATTATATACATTCATATTACAATATTATATGCTTTTGTCAATTTCTAGGTCCCAAATGTTAGCGATTTAGCTCCTTTAAATTCAACTAAATTGTTATTTTGTGTTTCCACAGTCAACATTTTTGGAGTTAGTGGGCATCGGTGATTTTCGAAGTGAATTCTGATAAAAACAGCATATAAATTACGTAAATCCCCAACAACGTACGTGTTGGGAGAAAAATGCATTATATTTTTTTTTATAGCGGTATTACGAACTTGTAGGAATTGTAGAAATACTTGTGGATTACTTCAAAAAAATATTCTAGAATTTAAAGATACCTTCCCGCGTATAAACTGAGTGAGTTGATGATATATTTGGACTAAAAACATTGTTCAAACTAATTAATCTATCATAATTTTGTTTTCAAATCCTACTCAAAACATTGTACTCGTGAGGTAATACCCCACTTATAAAAATTTTTTATTAAAAGACTAAGAGGTCATGTTTGTGCCACATGACTTGGCTGACGCAGTATCTAGCAATTGGTGCGATGCCGGAGGAGAATTCATTGCATATCCCTCTCAGTGATTGTAGCGGCCTAGCGAATATTCACTGGTGATCAGTGTAGGGCATGAGGAGGGGCAACACTTTTTGTCTAATGCACGGAAACAAAAATTCCTAGGGGATTTCCTATATGTCTTTTTCACTTATTTTTGTTTATTTGCCGTGTATTGTGTGATAATGTGTAATGACCACTACTGGCGGCACAAACTTTAGTTACATTACTGGGCATATAAAAATTATAATACCATATATAGTACGTATTCAACAAATACTGACAGTTTCAACAAATACTGACAGTTTCAACAAATACTGTACTGACAGTTTCAACAAATACTGACAGTTTCAAAAATAAAAATGTGGTACAACTTTAAAAGACAAATACGTGTAAGCAAGCATATACACTAAACACAATACTGTCAATCCCCGATAACAGACACGACATTGGAGGGTAATCACATACATTTTTCATGATTTGTCAACCAACATACTGGTTTTTACTTGATAAACACTGTTTGACGGATTGAGAGAAATCAAAAATTGAATTTCAATTCTGGAATGTTCAATTCACAAGAGGCCCTGAAAGTCTTAGGAAAACCTGTATATGCATCACCCCACCCCACTCATATCCACTGATTACAATAAATTGCACATTTGTGTAAATACTGATCACTTTTTATCTTTAGCAGACAGAGTTGTCTGCTCGGTTTGTTTTTTCTTGTTTTGTTTGAGTTCTAAGAGAAATGTCTCTAACTGAGTTAAGGTTTTATTAGGTTTCTGGTTATAAGTGGGAATATTAACAGGTGGTCTAGGTTTCGGATCTGGGGGATCCCAACGAGAACTTTTCGGACTAGAATCCCATTTCGATTTAACAAAGGGTATTTTGACTGCTGCAGGTTTCTTGTGGTATTTTTTGCGACCACTGTATGATGAAGATGAAGATGATGATGACCCTGAAGATGAACTCGAAGATGATGAGGATATTCGTTTTATTTTCTGTATTATCTTTTTAGCTGATTCGTCTTCTGACTTGATACCTTTCTGGATCTTTCCTTTTATTGGTGTTTCTTTGTCTTTATGGCTTGATATTACATCTGGAAGATCTGGTTTACATGAATTTTTATTGGGTGATTCAGTAAATCTATGCTTAGAATTATCATGAGATTTGGATATTTCTGCAATTTTTGATTTTGAGTTACACTTGGACCTAATTCTACTCTTGTTTGATTGACTTCTGCTACGGCTGCGACTATGAGATCGTTTGCTACCTCTGTCTGAACGACTTCTGCTAAGACTGGATTGCCATCTTTTTTTACTTTTGTCAGACTGATTTTTGCTACGGCTGTTACTACGGGAAGATAGCTTTCTAATTTCGCCTGAACGGTTTCTGCTACGGCTGCGACTACGAGAAGATGACTTTCTACCTTTGTCTGAATGCTTTCTGCTACGGCTGCGAACACGAAAAGATGGCTTTCTACTTTTGTCTGAACTATTTCTGCTACTGCTGCGACTACAAGAAGATGGATTACCACTTTTGTCTGAACGATTTTTACTACGGCTCCGACTAAGAGAAGATAGCTTTCTACTTCTGTCTGAACGATTTCTGCTACAGCTCCGACTATTAGAAGATGGCTTTCTACTTCTCTCTGAAAGATTTCTACTTGGACTATGACTAAGAGAAAATGGCTTTCTACTTTTGTCTAAAAGATTTCTGCTTTCACTACAAGATCGCTTCCTACTTCTATCTGAACAATTTCTGCTTTGACTATGGGAAGATCGAGTTTTACTTAAATTACTACTCCTAATTGGACTAGGGCTTTTTGAAGTGTAACTTCTATATCCAATCCCTATACTTTGTCGCGGACCCATTGCTCGACCGCCTTTTTCATCTCTCTTAGAATCTCGATGAATGTCTATGCCATGACAATCTGCTGAGCATATTACATCTCTAATTCTCTCAGAACTTTTGTATGTAGATATTCGGAAACTTCTACTTTTTTGATCATATTCCCCTTCCACAGCAGACATTCTATCAAGACTTTTACCGCGATGAGAATTTCGACTGCAGTTTGGACTTTTATTATCTTTTCGACTGCGTTTAGGATTCCTAATATCCTCCCGACTACGATTAGGACTTATACTATTTCTCAAACTGTGTTTAGGACCTCTACTGTCTTTTCGAGTAATTTTAGGACTTTCACTATCTTTTATACTACGTTTAGGACTTTTACTATATTTCTGACAATGAATAGCACTCTTCGAACTTCTACTATCTTCTTGTCTACAATTAGGACTTGAGCTTTCTCTTGGATTAAGACTCCTGTGATATTTACGCTTTTCCCTTTCATGGCTGATGCTCCTATCACTTTTCTGGTCTGAATTCAACCTTCTGCGTTTTTTTCGATGGTGGCTGTCACTTCTATGATCTACCTGCTCTCTACTGGAAACAATATGATCTCGATTGGTGCCCCTACCATATTTCTTATCTCTAATAGAACCCCAAGAATCGTGGCTGGTACTTCTTCGATTTAACCGGTCTCTGCTAAAACCTTCACCATATGGGCTTAAGCTACTTCGATATTTCCCATCTTGGATGTCATGCTGACGACCCTTAGTATCTTGACTAGTATTCCGGTGATCTTTACTATGACTCCTATCATCTTGTAGGCTGGAACCAGCTACATTAATTTTGCGATCTCTGCTGAAACTCCTTCTTTTAATTTTCTTATTGGCTGTGCGATCTCGGCTACTACTCATACTTGAACCCCCTTGTCCACTCTCTCGACTGGAACTTTGACTATGATGTCGACTACGATTAGCACATACACCTTCATCGTAATTTAGCCTATCTCTACTACGATGAATAATAGGACTGAGACTTATTATTCTCTCTTCATTGCTTCGATCACTTCGTGTTCGACTTCTGCTTTTACTTCTAACTTGCCGGGCACATTTTGAAGATTGGTCTCTTCTTTTCCTGTTATCATCAGATTTCATTCGAATATCACTGTGACCTGTGTATCTGTCTTCTGTTCTACTGTAACTTGGACTACGGCTTCTGTTGTGGCTATCATTCGAATCCGATCGTCTTTCAACATTTAGTCCAGACTCGAGATCTGGGTTTGATGGTCTCTCATCTACTTTTTTGGATATTACAATTTGTCTCGGTAAGAAGAATCCCGGTTTTGTTTTTGGGGGTTCGGTTTGTGCCTCAACGACAACAGGCTGAAAGGTTGATCTAAATATTGTACGAGTTATGGTACCAGTAAATGACCCCTTCTTATCGGCTGACATATTTGGATAAAACACTGATGCATCATCTTGTATCCTGTATTCTTGTTGAACTGGTTGATCAATTTCTCTTTCGGCTGCGTCCGAGAAATGACTCCTTTTCATTTGATCCTTAGAATGAGGTTTTGTCACAGTTGAATCGATTTCATCAACACCCATGAGACCAGATTTGTCTTTAGATTTACTTTCACACTCTGGAGATTTGTCCCATCTGTTGAAATGTTTCTTTTTCTTAGCTACACAGGGTTCTTTAGCATCAGTGTTACTATCACTTGAACTTGACCGTCTGCGTCTTCGACTTGAATCATCAGGCGAATGAGAATAAATTCTATGCTTTTTGTCATCCTTGTAGTAAGATTGTCTTCTATTACCCTCACAATCTTTGTTGATAACATCGTTCGTACAATCATCTTTACGCTTTCGGTTCTTTTCCGGTTTTCTGATTTCTGTAACATCTTCAAATGATTTTAATTCTAAAACATCTCGCTTGATAGAACTTACTGCTCTGTCCTCTGAATCATGTGATCTACGTTCTTGTGGTGAGGACAATCTTTTTGTCTTTATAAACTTATCCTCTTTGTCATTCTTAAAAGTTGGCAAATCTTTTTCATAACCGATTGATGAATCTCCGTAAAGGTACTCATCTTCATCAAAAGAACTAGAACAGCCGCGAGATCCAGGTCGCAACAACTGAGATGGGGTTTTAGATTTTTCTCCCCAGTCTGGTGAACTGGAATCAGGTCGTTTGTCAGGGGACATGACTCTTGTTTTTTTGTGTTCTAGAGATCTGAGTTCTGGGGTTTGCTCTCTTGCTGTCATAACTGGACTTCTTTCAGGAGTGTAACCTACTTTCCGCTTCTGTTCAGTTATTTTTTCTTTATTGGCATCAGGTTGACTTGTCAATTTAACCAGTTTTGTGCTGGGTGATCTACTATTTTGCCGATTATCTGAAACTTTTGAGTCTTTTGAATCTCTACGTTTTCTGCTTTGTCGCTTGTCCGAGCCTTTCAACCTTGTTGATTCATCATTGTCTTTAGATTTCTGTTGGTCGTGTGCGCTGCTTTTGGGTGACTGACTCTGGCGTTTAGATTTCTTTTTGTCTAAACTTTTTCCGCTTGGTGATTTGCTATCATGATGAGATTTGCGCCCGTCAGTAGACCTTGATCTGCGTCGACCTCGAAAATGACCATATCTAGATTGTGGAGATCGGGATCTTTTACGAGTATAAGACAATCTTCGACTTGCTGGAGATGGGCTCCGAGATCGCCTGCGTCTGCTGGAACTGCTGCTAGGAGTCATTTGTCTGGGTTTTCTGTAAATAAAGAATTATTAATTTTATTAAGATATATAGCAGTGGATTAATGACAAGACCAGCACCTGCCAGGCAGGATACACCCACATTTTCTAGAGATGGATAGAGAACAAGCTAAAAAGAAAGTGATTTTTCCTACAATCAAGGGCCATAATTCATGAAGTTACAATTCGATATGCGCAAATATCAAAAGGAAACAAGATCTTTGGGTTATAAACATGTATTTCAAGTTTCAAGTTTCATCAAAATCGGATTAGAATTGTGACCTCTACAGGGTCCACAACCTCAATAACCATATTTTTACACTATTCGCGTACAGTTTTAGTCAAATTTTCACGAAATTCGAACTCAACCTTTATTACGGTGCAACGGTGATATATTCAAAGGTTTTTAAAATTGGATAAAAACTGGGATCTTTAGAGGGACCACAAGGCAAAAAAGGCTATTTTTCGTATAATCAGGGGCCATAATTCAGGAAGTTACGATCCGATATGCGCAAATATCGCATGGAACCAAGATATTTGTGTTATAAACAGGTATTTCAAGTTTCATCAAAATTAGATTTAAATTATGACCTCTAAAGGGTCCACAACCTTGATATACCATAGTTTTACACTATTCGCGTACAAGCGGCGGCCATTTTGTTCGGCAATTTTGGTCCGATGTTCACGAAATTCGAACTCAACCTTCATTACATTGTTACTTTGATATAAACATTTTTTTGAATCGGGTAATAATTGTGACCTCCAGAGGGACCGCAAGCTAATAAAGGCGATTTTTCGTACGGTCAGGGGCCATAATTCAGGAAGTTACGATCTGATATGCGCAAATATCGAAAGGAACCAAGTTCTCTAGGTTATATAAACATGCATTTCAAGTTTCATCAAAATCGAATTAAAATTGTGACCTCTAGAGTGTCCACAAGCTAAAAACGCGATTTTTCGTACAATCAGGGGCCATAGTCCATGAAGTTACGGTCCAATACATGCCAATATCGAAAGGAACCGAGATCTTTGGGAGATAAGCATATATTTCAAGTTTTGTTGAAATCGGATAAAAATTGTGACTTGTAGAGTGTCCACAAACAAATTGTGGACGGAGTACGGACGAACAAACAGGGGCGACGACTGTAGGTCTCATTATCGCCCTGTACCTGTACGTTCAGGAACCGTCCTATTGAATCCTATTGAATCAAAAGCAGAAGAAAATTGTCACCTCAAGAGAGTCCAAAACCTTGATATATCATATTTTTACGCTATTTGAGTACGAGGGACAGCCATTTTGTCTGTCAGTTCTGGTCCTATTTTAATGAAATTTGAACTCAACCATCCTTAGTGTGTAGCTGTGATGTATTCAAACGTTTTTTTAAATCGCATAAAAATTATGACTGCTATAGGGTCCACAAGCTAAAAACGCGATTTTTCGTACAATCAGGGGCCATAATTCAGGAAGTTAGGGTCCGATATGTGCGAATATCGAAAGGAACCAAGATCTTTGGGTTATAAACTTACATTTCAAGTTTCATCAAAATCCGAAAAAAATTGTGACCTCTAGTGAGTCCATAACCTTATTTTTACGCTATTTGAGTACGAGGGACGGCCATTTTGTCTGTCAGTTTTGGGCAGGGGTCGAAATAACGCTTGTCTACTTGTCGAATCCAAGTTACATTTTCAATGGACAAGTAGAAAAAAAATCTACTTGTCGCCGGCGACAACTAGAATAATATCTATAAAAATTCAGGCTAAAAATGTATGTCTAATTTATCCATTCCAATAAAATTGGAAGAGGGGAACTTTTCATTTTAAAACAAATTAGACGTTAATCTTTTAGAGGCATTTAGTAACTGGGTAGAGCAATACACAAAAACACATACTTATTTATTTGGGCGACGTTTCGAAGAGTATTCTCTCAACGTTATCAAGCTAATACAGTAATGCAAGAATTATGAGATCAATATATACAGAAAACTATAACAACAATTCATGAAACCATACAGGACAACAAGATCAAAGGGGTTTCGTAGACCTTTGGGGATGATGTTGTTGTCCCTCCATCGCATCAGGAACATGAGGTTACACTTTGTCTAAACATATTTTCCCTCTAATCTGTTTACTGTATTGATAGAGGTTACTGCCACATCTCCATATTGATGGCGATAATAATCTTTTAGAGGCATTTAGTAACTGACGTTATTTAACAGCACGCGACAAGCTGTCCATTTGTCTCCATAGTAGAGTGGTGGCGAATTTCTCCCCGATTTACAAGACTGAAACTTACATGGTCCTTTCAAGTTCGCTCCATATGTCTGGGAAAGGTGTCTTTGCATTAAAATAGTAACACACAACTGATTCTGTGAAAACCGTAATGCCATTGGCTATTCCTTTTTAATCACCGAATCACAGTCAATATTACTCCATGGCAATCAGGCTAAGCTGTAGGTCGTCAAGTTGGCGATTGGCGATAATGTTTTGGAGTACATGGCGGTAAAACATCTTAAAATTCTAATCGTATACATTTATATATGGCCTTGCTCGACCATTAATTACCTTGAAATTTGAATGTCAATCACAACAGGCGGCATACATCAATTATTTTTCTTCTGATGAGTGTGGAGTACCACATGAAACTTTAAGTAAAGAACTTAAAGATTTCATATTTTTTATTATTTATATATATATATATATATATAAAGCCTATCATTTGATGTTTCGTTTTGTCTTAAAAAATACAAGCCAACAGTGAGGCTGATGTCCCCCGCCGAAATAGGAAAATAATTAGAGAGTTATTGTGTTCCAAAGTCTCAGCAAATCAAATTGCTTATCGCTCTGCTTAATCTGAGCAGAAAATGCTCATTATCGATCTTAGTCAAGGTATTACTGTAATGAAACTATACACCAAGTTTCATCACTCTCACTTAATTAGAACTAAAGTTATAGTGTCCCAAAGCATCAACCAATCAAATTGTTTATCTCTGCTTACCCTAAGCGGAACGGACAGACAAACAGACAGACGGACGAACCCATTTTAATAGTTCCCTGCTTTCTTCGAAAGGCGGGGGACAATAAGCATGAACATTTACTCAATTCGAAGATCAACCAATCAAATTGTTTATCTCTGCTTACCATAAGCGGAACGGACAGACAGACAAACAGACAGACGGACGAACCCATTTTAATAGTTCCCTGCTTTCTTCGAAAGGCGGGGGACAATCAAAGTAGGAGAGTTATTGTTTTCCAAAGTCTCGACCAATCAAATTGCGTATCGCTCTGCTTACCCTGAGCAGAAAATGCTCATTATCAAACTTAGTCAAGGTATTACTGTAATGAAACTATACACCAAGTTTCATCAATCTCACTTAATTAGAACTAAAGTTATCGTGTCCCAAAGCATCAACCAATCAAATTGCTTATCTCTGCTTACCCTAAGCTGAAAATGCTCATCTTCGAACTCCATCAAGGCATTGACCTAATCAACACATACACCAAGTTTGAACATTCTAGCTCAATTAGGAAGAGAGTTATCGTGCCCCAAAGTATCAACCAATCAAATTGCTTATCTCTGCTTACCCTAAGCGGAAAATGCTCATCTTCGAACTCCATCAAGGCATTGACCTAATAAACACATACACCAAGTTTGAACATTCTAGCTCAATTAAAAGTTATCGTGTCCCAAAGCATCAACCAATCAAATTGCTTATCTCTGCTTACCCTAAGCGGAAAATGCTCATCTTCGAACTCCATCAAGGCATTGACCTAATCAACACATACACCAAGTTTGAACATTCTAGCCCAATTAGGAAGAGAGTTATCGTGTCCCAAAGCATCAACCAATCAAATTGCTTATCTCTGCTTACCCTAAGCGGAAAATGCTCATCTTCGAACTCCATCAAGGCATTGACCTAATAAACACATACACCAAGTTTGAACATTCTAGCTCAATTAGGAAGAGAGTTATTGTGTCCCAAAAAGTGTGACGGACAGACAGACGGACAGACAGAAGGACAGACAGACGGACAGACAGACAGACAGACAGACAGACAGACGGACGAACCCATTTTAATAGTCCCCTGCTTTCTTCGAAAGGCGGGGGACAAAAATAAACTAGACCTGCAAGCAGCACTAAACCGGCTTTCACGAATCAGACAGGAAGTGTGTTATACAATAGCCCATTCATCGAGCTACTAAACGATACTTTAGGTGATTTAATTCTGTCACACCCGACCGTGAAATCATGATTTTTGCAAGAGCACCGATTTTAACTGGGTTTTTTTTTAATATCAAATATATTTATATGACTACGGTTTCACCGGTGCCACGTTACCCTAAACATATGTCACTTCCAGTACCAATGAAACCATTAGACAGGTTTCCATATAAGCATTGCACACATCAAATAAAATCGACGACGAATCAACCAAATCCAGCAATATCAATTCATTTTATACATTTGTTACATGTAAGTGTACAGTACTTCCGGTGATAATGAAAATGTTCAATTAGTTTTATGAAATCAGAAATGGCATAAGGCATCACATGGTGAAAATTTTATGTAAATCGAATAATAATTGCCACTTTTATAGACCAAAAACCTTGAAAAGTGACTTGTATAAAACCGTCTATTTCTATGCAACCGTACAAGTCAGAAACCATTTTCTGGTATCTGTATGATCATATGGGTTTAATCTATTTGTTGATTGGAATCAAATATCATAATTTTAAAAACATTACAAATCAGACTCATTTGAATAAAATATCGGTTTTGAAGGCTAAAAATATAGTTTTTGCCAAAATGACGTTACTTCCGGTGATAATGAAAATCTTAAATTACTTGTATGACATTGTAAATGGCATTAGGTATCACACAGTGAAAATATTATGAAAATCGAATAATAATTGACACTTTTATGGACCAAAAACCTTGAAAAGTGACCTGTCGAAAATCGCCTATTTCTCCGCAACTGAACAAGTTAGAAACAATTTTGTGCAATCTATATGACCTTA